GGGAGGATTCACATGCTGTTGTTGTTCAATGGTGTACCATCATAAAGTTTGATATCAACCTGTGACACCATTCACCACTCGTACATCGCCTATGGTGCTGGAACGAAAACACTTAACAGGTATGATCATATCAGCACAATACTAGGAAATCATCAGGGATAAACCTAAAACCTCTAGAGCCCTTGGAACCACATAACAAACTCTCGGTTAGTCAAATATTTTATTGTAGCTTTTGGCGCGACCGAAAATGACGAAATAACAACTCCCAAGGCGTCAGAAATGCATCTAGCTTCCACACCTTCCTATTTATGACCAAATTTGGCCTGGCAGCCATGCTTCTCCTGGGATATCCTTCAAATAAATCGGTGGGCTCAGGCTCCATGTGGATACGGATATCCTTGAAACAGTTGTCGCGTTGGTATATGTACCGCTTCAACCCACAACCTTTAGAAGGCCATAATTGTCCTTATAGTCGATTCCGTCGAGTTTTCCTACAAGACCTGGTGATTACAATACTCTCTCGCTAAAGGAGATAAGTACGGATTGCAAGTTGACAAGGGTATCAAACAGGCATATTACCCCAGACACAGAAGGTCTAAAGGACATATATGGCAAGCTGGTAACATCCTTCTAGATCCCCTTTGTCGGGGAACCCATCGGCTAACAAACCTGTTTCATGGAGGCAATGAATCGGGTGCAAAGTTCCGTCACGTCATCGGCCGATTCGTTCATGGGGATCGCGGCAACGCAAGCCAGATTTTGCAACCGTCTGTTGACTGGTCCCTGCCTGACTCCGTAGCTACCTCTGTTGCTAGCCCAAGCTACTATACATCGCCGCAAAGCATCATGCAGTCTCTATCCCCACTGAAACGGAAAAAGAGAGCAGCCGAATCCCCAACCCTCCCGCGAAAACTGGGGACTCAAGAGATGCATCGAGAAAGATTTTCAAGAGCTGCAGAAACCAGTACGAAGATGATAAATGAGACCATTCAATATCTACAAGCGGTATCTGATCACATCTCAACTTAGGACACAATTTCTTCCAGGGAGTGGGCCACAATGCACCTCGCCACCCAACTGCTACAGAGCAGGTACGAAGATATTATCGCGAGGGAAGAAATTAAGCACATGCTGTATCCCATTTTTTATCTGCACTGACACAACCAGAAGGCAAGTGCCGGCAGTGTGCTGCTGCGGATAAGGAGCGGCTGTAAAATTGAGACACTCCTCGTTCTTCTTGTGTATAAGCTTGGCTATCCTTTGGCCCTTGCAATTGTTGAGAAAACGATGCTCTATAATTAAGAATCGTTCGTTGAGAACCTGCCAAGCTTCAAACCTATCAGTCCATGAAGTATAGCATTTTGAAGTACGACGATGGGTTGAACAATATTCCTGTTGATGATATGTTAGCCCACTCGATAAGGCAAAATAATTACACGAAAACCAGCTGCGTCATGATCTCCTACCAATGCAATAAGAATTCCCAAGCACATCTAGAGGAATCAAACAGTATTACGCTGGTAATAATTTCCCCACTTTGTTGAGATTTCGCCAAGACCTCTCGACATGGTAGACTTGAGGATCTCTCGCTTGTAAGGCTGAAATGATGATGCGTGGGAGTGGCCCGACTAAGCAGAGTTGTTGTATGAGAATGTATTGCCATCAAGACCGACCACTCCATTCGGCGGGAAGATACGCCCCGGGTCATTTGGGGAAAGTGGGTGATTTGGAAGCCAACGGTACGTCTGCAATCAAGAAGCAAATTGAAAGCGTCAGTTGCCAAGAGTATGTGTGAATGCGGTAAATTGGTTGATGATACCTGAGAAAGGCGAGAATTATGGTTCTGGCCAGTGTCATTGTTTGCAATCAGCGAGTCGACCAAACCCGAACCCATACCAAGCATAAGGCAACCGCTAGTATCGCCAGTGGATGTGCTGCCATCACCAAAAGCCATTGTGGGATCAACCGTGTACTTCATGTCGGCTTCGAACACGATCATGTTGAGCTCCGGCTGGAGCAGCTGTGGTTGAAGTTGTGGCTGTTGCTGTTCGTGTTGGATCCACTGCATGATACCCCCGTCGTCTCCCCCCTGTGGCCTGCTCCTTTGCTTTTTGTTCATGTTCAGGGGTTGCTGTATCGGCTTCCGCCTGTTCTTGCTGCCTTTGGGCCGACCGAGCCTATTACTGGGGCTGTAGACGCAGACTTTCTGAGACCTTTCACACATCAAGCACGGATTCTCTCTAGTACATCGGCTTTTCATTTGTCGGCATGTATCACAGGCGGAGAGGATCCGGCTGAACATCTTGGAGTTCTTGTTGGGCCCTACTGGTCTGGTTCTGGGTTCGGCTGTGGTTTCAGCTTGGCCTTTCTCAAATGAAAAGTGACTGGATTTTTCAGCGGACATGCTGAAGGGGTCTTAAAGCATGTCGTAATGAGAGATTCAGTCCTCTGGGAGCTCTCAGCCTTCTTTTAACATCCTCTGTAATGGCGGCTTACACTATGAAGTCCACTAAAATCGAGCTGAGCAAGAAAATAATGTAACATCGGGAACACACCCCATTTGGAGTCAAACGCTACTGCAAGCCATAACGGTTTGCACGGCGAAATACGAGGCCTGTAATAGTTGGCAGTAACTTATCAGAGGACTACCCTGTAGTCTTAGTCGAGCACTACTCCATTAGCGCTAGGTCGCTTACATATCTGAAATAAATGGATACGAGGATATCTCTTGATGAGACAAATAGCCGAAGATAAGGTGGATAAATTCGTGAACGGATGCAAAAGTACTAGCTACCTGCGCAAGGTACATACCCTGAAGATATAACGCACGGTATCTTTCCTACTGGGGCTTGCTTTGGGGAGCATGCTTGTTGAATGCAACATATGCCCAAAGAGCGTCGAAAGGGGGGAACGGGCACGGAAAAAACAACCGTAAGTGCCCGATAGGTCATCGAACAAAACGAGATCTCACGCCAAGACGGAGCAAGGTTTAGGAATCAAAATCTCGACGAAGTGGCGCCATAGAGGAGTTAATTGAGGCAGTAAGGAGCGTGTCCAAACTTCACGATATCCTACTTATCCTAAGAGGTTGTGGATATTTTTTCTTCCACCACCTTGTCCCCTTCTGCAAACATCAAGCGCCACCCCGTGGCAGCTCAGTCTCGCATCAGGTCAAGGCGCAGACTTTTGGGGACTGATGGAATCGAGATTGAAGAGTCGGAGACCCTACAGACCCTACACATGGAAATAAATCATAGTCCATCCAGGCCAACGCGACCCAGCGGGCTCAAAATAAGCTACTCGATTTCGGACTATTGTGACACGGAAACCTCGATCGAGGAACCACAAGCTAGGACCCTGAGTGCTCTGCCCACTCCATCCAAGAAGACTCGATCTAAGGCAAAGGAAGCAACCGAGCATCAGTGCGGAGAGGGAAGCCTAGCTGTCGAAGAGACTGAAAGGGCCATTGAGACCCTTTCGCTGTCAGTAAAGCTTGAAGACTATAGTGAAGATGCACCAGCTGGGCCATTGCGTCAACCTTCGCCGAAAAAGGCAAAAGAACCCAAAG